TTTGGTTAAACTTGAACAATTAACAGCTACGCGAACGCACCTATTATATAACTTTGTATCGATCTTCTTTAAAATTGCCACTCTTTCTGCACTTTGCACTAAGAAATACAAAATATAAACAAATGAAAAATCAAACATTGAGCTCAACTAATCTCTTGCAAATTTTATAAGTTTTCATAAAAAAAAATGTATCAAAAATTTATTAACCACTGTGGATCGGCTTGTCCTCAATCGTTTTCGTCAAGCACAACTAACGGGAGGTTCAGGAAGTGGGGTTTAGAGGACATGCGAAGAGGTGTGGCGAGTAGTGAGGTGACTCCGCATGCCGGACACTCATTCGGCACATTTGCATTTATCCCATTCAGGTAGAAGCTTAACCTGCTGCAGTTGGGCTGTGGTGGTGCGTTCTGTATCGTCCTTTTCAGGTGGCTGTACTCCCAAAACGGCATTTACAGGTCTAGAGTTTGTGTCATCTTGAGACCGACTCCCTGTGAATACCATTTATGGCCAATCGGTACGCAGTCGGGTCCAGAGGTTGTTTTATGTACCTCCGTTAGTTCTGAGAGATGTCTTATGACGTGTCTAGGCAAAGGCTCTGCGGCAATTAGGGTCTGTTCGGGTACCAACGTCTAAGGCATCCTACTAGGAATTTCGTACATACTATTATATTGTGCTCCTTGACAGGATGCATTTGAGCCTCGTCATGTAGGTGGTGCTGTAGCGACATCAGAAGGGATCCGGTGACCGTCCGGATTGCCGTTTGTTTTTTTTTTAATCTGCAGCTTTGTCCATTGCATCCTGTTAGTCCCCGGGCGCTGCATAATTTAGAACCGGCTGGCCAATTACCTTATATGTTGCCGACAATGTTCCTTTGTCTTTGCCCCAGGTGTTGCCGGCTAGCGACTGAAGGCTTTGAAGATTCTACGGAGGATTTACAAGCTGTGTAACGAAGGCGAATACCGTCGACAAGTGAAGGATGAGCTTTATAGGCCTTACAATAGGATTGACATAGAGCAGCGTAATCAAATAAAGTGGCTCTGCATGCTTGCACATCTATAAATGGATACCAAAGCTCCAGCCCTAAAAGTATGCAACGCGATATCTGCTGATGGTAGCAAGTTAAGTTGATGGCACTTTTGTGATGGTAAGTCCAGAAAAGGAGAACTTGACTTCACTTGGCATTTCCAATTGACGTCAGTTGACACAGAAGAAAAACGAACGGCATACTTAATTAGCCTCGGCCAGCGCCAAAAAAGAAGAGTAGGATTTTAACAAACCGAATATAAAGCAAACTATCAGCCCTATCCTGAACAGAAACTCCCTGGGAGCTTTCTCTTTTTTCCCTTTCCTCCTATCATGAATGAAAATTCCCTGAGGATTTTCCTTTTAAATGGCGGAGTTGAGCTGCCAAAAAAGTGTCAAACAGCTCTTTCGAAGTTCCAATTTCCTCCTGCCATATTTTCAGGAAAATGCTACTCATTGGGATTTATTAATTGGAAGATTTCTTTCTCTGGAGAAACGATTTCCCGGAGAACAAACACCCCGGGAGTATTCAGAATTGGGCTGTATATAACTTTCTTACACTAAAATCAAGATTTATTTACAAGCAAAAGTGTAAATTTGAATTTATTTATTATCAAAGCGTGTAACCACCTTGGTCCGCCCAGTGTACGCGTCGACTTTCGAGGTAGTCTAGGCTCTCTTTGATCTTTCGGCGTTCTTCATCCATTACTGCCAAACGTTTGTATTTCTGTATAACATAGCAGCAGCTGAACATGAGTGCAACCTGAAAGATTAGCCAGAAAATCAGTAGAGCGATGAGAAGGCTTTGATTCAAGCAAAAGTTGTCCAATTGCATGTGATCTAAATCAACGAAATAAAAAGAAAAACGAAAAATTCAATTTTAATAGAATACCGACTGTCAGTAGGCACATACCAATGCCCGCAATCAGTAAGACGCCACGCTCGCCATAAATAAAGCTATTACTGCTGACCTGATCAGGACCACGCACGTGTAAATTATAGTTCAGTGGAAGTATGCCCAAATCTTGCATCGACATATTGTCAGTCTTTGAGTCACGCGTCAAATTCATCTCTTCAAGCTGTTCTTGGGGTACATCCATCACCGTCGATATGTAAACGGGGTTTTGAACCTTAAAACGATCCGAGAGTGGAGACTCTGGCTCCTCTTCCCTAATTGGTGGCCGGATCTGGCGGCGTTTTCGTGTAGCAGAACTTACAAGATTAGCTGTAGCGCTGCTATAGCTGTCATCCTTGCTGGTGCTCGTGCTAACACCACCACCACCACCACCGCCACTACCATATGGATAACAATTATCTCCGAGGCAGCGTTGTTTACAAAAACGTATATTCACATCAAAGTTTACTAACGAAGATCCGGCAAATTTGAAGGCGTGAAAACGTGCTCTTAACATATTTTGTGTAGTTGAGTGTTTACGCTCCAATGCGGGAAATACCGTGACATCAATGGGGCAGCCACGTTCATCGATGAGTTGCACGAAATTTTGATTGTCCTGTGTTTTGGCAATCAGCGAAGTCGCGCGAAAGTCGGGCAATGGTGGCAGTGCATAGTTAACCAACTGTTGCTGGTGTGGTGAGTATTCAGCAATGATTTGTAGTTCTAGATTTTGTCCAATTTGCACATCATTCGTTTCGTGTTGATGCGACAGATCGACAATTTGTAGTGTGACTTTCGGTAGGAGTGGCACATCCGTGCTATTGAATAGCAGTGAGCCCTCGTTGGGTAGCATGCTGTGTGAAGGTGGAGATGAAAAGAAGAATTAAGACTTGTTGACACAAATTTATTCTATTAATTATAACTTTTCGCGACAAAAAACATGTTTGTATACAGGGTGTCCACCGCTTTTTAAATGAACGAAAATATTTTTTATTGGAAAACGAAATAATGTGAATCACCAAGTCGGCGATGCTCTCTCTATCTTTTGGTCGTATTATCGACTTCGGGTTTCGACCGGAAGTAGGTTTAACTGACCAGAAGTATTTCAGTTTTTATTACAGATTCGGAATCTGCGGAAAAAATACATTACCTTTGTAGGAAATTTTTTTCTATAAGGGATTTCCGTTTAAAATAATGGAGCTCCAGCCTATTTGAACTACTTTCGGTCGAAACCGAAAGTCGGTAATACTTATTTCTTCGTTTTCCAATAAAAAAACATTTTCGTCCAGGACTAGTTGAAAGTTGAAAAAGTTTCAAATAAAAGTTACGTATTTTTATGCGCAGAATCCGAATCTGTAGTAAAAGCATATAACCCCGTATAAAGAAATGACCTTCCGGTAAGTTTAACCCACTTTCGGTCGAAACTGGATTTCGGTAATACCACCAAAAGATGGAGTATCCCCGACTTGGTATTTCATATTCTTGCGCCTTCCAATAAAAACTATTTTTCTCCATATTAGACGGGGTGGACGGGTAGTGTGGGACCACCTACATGTATGTATGTATGTATTACAGCTGAATACGAACTCGATTTCAATGCCATGGTGAACAAGAGAAGAGAGCTTTAGTCCCACTGTCAGAAAATCAAGCCCTTCCGACAAAACGTGCCATAACGGATTGAGGCTGATCGACTTCGCCGGCGCCCGAACCATGGTAGTAAGCTATCGGCTATCTTTACCGAGTGTGATGCAGAGGACGTGAGAGAAGTTTAAACTCAATGTGGCCACAATCAAACCCTATCCCCACAGGTACTGTTGAAATTTGTCAGAGATTTAGGTTTAGAGAAGGCATGGTGAAGAGTGGAGGACGGCACAATAGACCACTAGGTCGCGGTGCAAATCTCATTTTATTATCTATGGTAGCAAGCAGTACTAGGCTCCTGCATAGAAGGATCCATCAAGCTACGTAGCTGTCTTCAAAACGAAAAACGAGGAACGAAATCGATCATGTTGTGATAAACAGAAGGCACGTTTCCAGTGTTTTAGATGTTAGCACACGCCGAGGATCAAACATCGACTCGGATCACTGGAAAGCTGGAATCACATCAGACATTACAACATGCATTCGCCACTCGACTCTTACACCTTCTCTCAGAGAGTACTCTTCAAGAAGCCGACATATGCGAGTAGTGGGTCCATATTTCCCGCACATTACGTACCTCTGCCGAAAAAGTATTCCAGCAAGCCCGAAAAAAGAACAAGTACGATGTTGAATGCAACGAAGCTGCAGGCAAGAAAGGATGCCTCTGTAATGGGGGGAAAAGCGCGATATTTAGAATCGATAAAGAGAAGGCGAGACGTATTTGACGTAATAAAGGTAGAAAGCATGCTTCCTGACTGCCATTTGAGTGTGCTCCACCACATACTTAATATGCAATACAAAGTCGTATAGAGGATATTGTGTGAAAGACAGAGGCGCACCGTCTGGGAATGGATTGGGCAGTTGACTTTAGATCTGGCAAATTCACCAAAGACCAGGTATTCACCATACTCTGAGTATTGGAGGAGAATCAAACGCACCGTCTGTTTGGCAAATATAAAGCAGCTAACACAAAAATGAGTTGCCTATACGCGATGTCTGAATTTGAATATTATTTGGCCGAACTTCTCCTCCAATTTGTGGTGTGCGTCTTGTTGTTATAACACAAGCTGGAATAATCTACAATTTTAAGCCGCAAATGGTTTTATGGGAATCGTTTTCAAAGTAGAAATACACGCGGTTTGCCATTCTTCTTGGATGTGGCTCGGACCAGCAAGCCAAGTGGTGATGGGACATACTCAAACTACTTGGCTATAGCGAGCGACTGTGGACCTAAACTTCGAATTAACGCATCCACAGTCTCCCATGGTTTACCAAACATTGGGTAGGATATAACTTCGAACCCTGGTGAAACTTCAAAAAAAAATTTAGAAAAAAAGGACTTGTTATTCTCAACCTTACCTAATTTCGATCCCAATCCCAATCTCAACCCATTCTTAAGCTTAATCCCAATATTTTTCTTCTTCTTAACCTTAGTTCTAATCTTAGTGCTGATCTTAACTTCAATCCCAATCTCACGTTAACCTTTCTCTTAATTTTAATCTTAATCTTATTCTTAAACCGCTACGTGCCCCGGTTCGACATTTCACACAAAATATTAATATAAGGAGACTCAACTGGATTCACATCCCACAGTGGTTACCAATAATGCCACGAAGGCATTTTATACTTGTCAAAGGCTCCATGGTAAAACTTGGCGAATATCTCCGAAACTAACGTACCGGTCATTTAACACGTAGATAAAAACGGGGTTAGGAACCTACCTAGAGTTCCGATGTGAATGTGCACAACCACAATCCTGGCGGAAATTATCGCAATTAAAATAATGTCTTCGCAGAAAGACTAATGGGGCAACAATAAACATCATGTCCAGCGTTAAGAGCCCTAGGCTCTTGGAGAACGGTAGCAAAGCTGGTAGACAGATGATAAATTATACTGAAAAAACTAAGAAACAATAACACCTTGTCACACTAATAACCTTGTGGTGAGTTTCGGGCCACTGCCTCGTAATGCGGTGACCAACACAGCCTGATCAGCCCTCAGCCTTTCTGTGATCTGTTCAGAGGATACACAGCTCCTAAGGAGATGGGAGTACTCGCAATATGCAAGCCAATGGTGCACGACAAAGGGTAAAAGGCAATTCGAAAGATTTCTAACTCCGTGTCGTGGAAGATTTAGTGATCGAGTGCTAAATCTTAGCAGAGAGGGTTTAAGAACTCTCACCGGGTACCTGACAAGACGAAGCGGACTGTGTTTTCGTCTACACAAAATGGGACTCTCGGAGGAGACAAAATGCAGGTTTTGTGAGCTGGGGGAGCGAACCTAGGAACATATACTATCCCTACAGTGGAACCCCAAACTAGTCAGGAAAAATACTAGTTTACAACTAGAATTTCCTGACTGAAACCGAACTAGTTCGAAAATGGCCAGACTTTTACCAAGTACAAAACGAATGCCCGGTTTTATTTGACTTCGACAGTTTAATACAATAAGTACAAAAAATATTACAACTTTTATTTGGGTATATTGTCAACCATTAAAGCGAGTACATTTTCAATCGACCAGGCATGTTAAAAATTTATTAATAATCATAATGATTATTTATTAAAGCATGTTTTTTTTTTGGATAACCGCTTAATGATTAAATACCAATATTAGCACCATTTTAATCAATAGTTAATTAAAAATTATTAATTAATTCATTAATTTTAATTACATGATTATTTTGTTATTTTTGATAATTTTCAATTATTTTTGACTTTTTTTAATTACAAGATGAAAATAGATATTCGATTAATTTCAATTATAAACAAGTCAAACTACAGACACAAATTATGAATATTTAACAACTGCATGAATTGTTTATTTATTTTATTTTTATCAAAATCTCAAATTTTAAACTTTAATTATTACTTTGATAACATTTCAAAAAGAAGGGACTGAAATGTGCAAAGTTAGTGAATTTAATTTAATTTAATAAATACTTTTATTTTTATTTAAGTTCACTTGAATATGAACTAAAGTATTTATTTTATTTTTAACTGAAATATTTTCTTTTGCATATTTAATATTATTAAAAAAGATAAAAAAATCTAGTATTAATTGTACCTGAATGCTTTTACTTTTAATAACAATTAATTAAAAATGCATTTAAATTTATGTTAGAAAGTCTGAAATATTTATATATTAATTTGACATTAAATATTAGCAAATCTAAGGCTGCTAAATAAAAATGTGAAATATATAAAGTGTATTTAATCAAAAGTTTTTTATTGTATATTCATAAATTCATTTTACTTTTTAACTCCCAATGTAGTGGTTTCGGTCCATAATTCGACAAGTATTTTTCTGTGTATTTTGAACTAGTATGAGACTGGTATATTTTTGACCAAAATCGGACAATTGACATCTCGTAGTTAAAAATACCAGTTGATTGCATGGAAAAAGATAGTTGGCTGACTAGTTGGGCATGCGGTTCATACTTGTTGTAAGGTAGTTTAAAACTGTTACATTTGACTACAGGGATGTGATCGCCCGCGTATAACTCAACTTATACCATGGAGAACAATTATCGTCTCCATCCAGAAAGCTAGACACTCCGGACACCCTTCAAAGTGCTAAATTTCATCAATAACCTCAGGTTGGAGTGGCTATTAAGGGTTACTATTTAAGGGTTAGCACACTATAATAGTGTTCGCTATGCAAAAAAGATCAGTCCAGCGCCTTCGTCTTGACCTGCAGGCTGTGTCGGAGACTTAAACTTAAGAAAAAAGTTGAATTATAAAATCTATTATACATATATATTTTTTTCTATCTACCTATTATATTTTAAGACGTCCACCAAAATATTTCGGAGAAATATTAAGATTTACGTAAGCTGGACCGATTTGAAAATACCTCCAAAAATGGAGTTTTTTATGAATAAAAATAGTTTTTTAAAGAACTTTTTGAAAAAAGTCCCAGCAGCTGACAAAACAGATTAAGCTTAAAAAATCTGCATGAAAATATTTAAAAATGTTTTCAACGGAATCGTAATAATAAGATTTTTGATGTTGTTTTTTTTTACATTTTTCAAAGATTGATTTATAATGCCCATACCTTTGAATAAAATAAACATACTTAGAAGATATCAACCAATACTTCCCATATACCAAACGAAAGGAAAACACCTGAATTGTTGAGTAAAGAAAACAAAAACAAAATCATTCGAGCGGTTTTCGAGCATTTTGGTAATAAAAAAAAAATTGCAAATTTTTTAAAAAATCTTTTGCCTAAAAAATGCTCATTATTGGTTGAACTTATATATAAAATTTGTACACGATAATATTTCTACTGCTCCAAAGAACCTACATATATCCCGAAAATAAAAGTTATATCTGCAAATCATTAGCTACTAGAGCACTTTAAAGTCTCAAAATTTACCCCAAAATAAGCCAATATTTACCGTTGTTTCTACGACAAACACCGAATTGGTTACTTATAGAAATGTATCTGTCGATAGGTGGTCGAATTTTGTCTTTGAAACGCCACATCTTTCTTTGAAATCGCTTCACTAGTTCTCGTGCAATAAGCGTTCTTGTGAAGCTCTAAAAATTACAACTACAACATTTGAGCATAGCCTCCATATCGAAACGTAAGATGTATTCTACGTCAAAAACTTGTACAAGTTGGTAATAATTGTTACCAAATTCGTTTGGCCAAAAAACTAGTAAAACTTGCAAGGAGAGAGCACAATTTTGACATTTCATTTGGAGGGGAAGTTCGTGCTGGGGAAATTATTGACACACGGTTGCATTTTTTTCAACAATAATTTGAATCAACAAGTTCGTTCAATTTAAAAAAGGAATACTTTTTTTGGCGATTTACTAATGAAAGAAAGATGTAAATATTTGTTTACTCAATTAACTTAATTAATTCCTGTATTCGTAATCGTAACACAATCGACACCACGGTCGGGTCGATATAGGAAATCCGACAGTGACTTACACAAAGAAATTGAAGCTTATGTTGAAGAAAGTCAGAATAAGAAGGGATATACGTATAGGCCCTGTTTTGTTTTCCGACTGAAATAATGTAAACAATTTATTATGTTCGAAATGCAACCGTGGACGCCAGCTGGCAGTGAACAAGGCGTATTTAACAAGGTGGTGTTATTGGTCATTGTCATTGGTATGAGTTACAACAAACACATCATTTTGACATAATGGCCTCCACGGCGAAAAACTTAGCTGTCGCCCCAACACCACCTTGTTTAATACACCTTGGCAGTGAAGCTTGCAAATGTTTGCTAATTCCTGTTGTAAGTTTCTCTCTTTGGGAGAGTAAGATTCTCTGAATTTGGTTATTGGCTAATTCTTACTGGCTTTTGCATAGCGAACAGAACTTATATTTAGTTAGGTCTCAGCGTTATATGCCATAATAAGTAATAATAATAATAATAATAATAATAATAATAATAATAATATAGGAAGACTAATGTCGAATTTCCACTAGGCATTATAATGATAGAAAATGTATGTATTAAAAAATGCAATGTGGAAACAGATATAGTGACTAGTTTTCCTATTTTGAATGCCCAACATTGTCATTAAAAATGTGTTCATTTAATGTCAAGTGGAAATTCATCATAAAAGAGATGAACTTTTGTTGCGTACCAAGAGTAAATTTTTTTTCTGGATTTTAACAAAAATATATGCGTATTTTTTTTTTAATTGTCAGAAGGGGGTTTAATAAAAAACTAGTATTAAGTTAATTTTTTTAAACACAAAATCTTTTGTTTAAAGCCAAATATTTGATGCGACTTACTGCTGTGCGAACTCTAATGAAGACTCCAATGCAATAGCATTCGGTATATCTTCACCCTCCAAACCATCCTCATCATTGCGTCCATCAGTGTGCCCATCCTTGCGCATCGTCGAATTGCTCATTATGCAACCGACTTTGATGAGACGATCACCCTGTGTTTGCACGTTTCGATTATTTTGTATTACTATCAACGCGGATATGAAAATTCTGTAATTCAAAGTAAATATGTATGTATGCTAATAAATACGTATGTACATACGGGTTTGAGTAATCAATAATTGGAAAATAACCAAATTATTACTTTGCTTCGATGATTGCTAAAAGTGCCTACGTACGCTTGCTTACCTTTGATATGCTTTGGTGACTTCGTAGGCACGCAAAATGCCGCAACGATTCTCTTTGACCTCGGTGCCGATCGGTAGACGTAACACTGTGCTACTTGTGCCGTTGCCTTGCACCATACACTGCTTTGAATGCATGCTGGCATACATTTTACCATAAAACCAATCTTTCGGCGTATATTTGATGGCCATTTCGTCTTGTGTGCACAGCACCTGTACTGTGTGGGGAAAAATGGAAACAGTTGTTTTTTTTTTAAATTTTATTTTAGGAGTTTGTAAGCATAAGGTACCATCTAAACACTTGACACGCCGCATATAGACAGACTTCTCTCTTAGTTTCAGACTGCGGGGTCCCATCGATATAATATCCTCCGAGTGTAGTAGACATTCCGAATTGGTCAGATCGCGCTCAAAATAGAATGACACGCCTTGGCAATAGAATTTCGTTTCATGTGAGCACAATGATTGACACTTCAAAGAAAATTTTAAATTATACAGTGTAAAATTCCATTATAAATTGCGTTTTGTAATATAAATTATTAGCCATAACTACAAACACTCACACACACACACATTAACTAATACTAACTAATAAAAATTTATACATTCGTTTACAAAAATAATTAATTAAAATTTTATATGTACATATGTACTTTCAATCGAAGCTTTGAGTTGATTGCATGTCAGTCGGATTATTGTAAAAAGTTCACTATTTTTATTTTTTATACAATCTAAATCCCATGTTTTTGTCTTCAACATCATACTACCATCAATACTACAAACAACATAGACAGACACACCTCCTTTTGGGTTAGACCCAAATATTTTGCTTCCGCATAAATGAAGCTACTGTTCGCATACAATTCGTATGAACAGCTATCGTTCTCGATCGGTCGCTCGTAACATTGATTTTCCATGTATTCTTCGTCATAGGGTGCAGCCCGGAATGCATCGGGTTGTATCATTTTATCTTTATCACTGAGTATACAACGTCCCAATGTGTTGGGTTGTGACTGATGTTGTTGATGTTGTTGCTGCTCTGCTTGTGGCACATGTTGACTGAATCTGATCGATTGATAAAAAAGAAAAATCGTAAATGTGGGATTAACTTGACATTAGCGACATTAGCATCTACATAAAATAAACAATACTACGCCCACATTTATGTAACATACACGTGTAAGTCCATTAGGGTGCCCATCGAAGTTTTTTGTTTTGTTTCAAATTTCAAGACCCTACCCCCTAATTTCCTTCCATTTTATGAGAAATATTATTGCCTATTGTTATAGATTTCTTAAAAATCATTTAGAGGTACGATTTTGTAGATTTATCAGTTTTTGATTGACTATTTTTCATTAAATTTTAAAGAGTTGTTGGTGTAAGTTTTCATAGGGCAAATAAAACGGAAGGCCTTGAATTTATACATATGTGTGTATGTACCGGACTTTTAGAATTTATAGCAGTTTGGCTAAGGAATTCCTCTATATTTATTCAAAATTTATATATGCAATCGTCTTTAGTAAAAAAGTGCGTTTTCAAGAAGTTTTAGGACAATGAGGGTGGCACCGCCCACTTACATATGCATATGATATACATATATGCGTATCTCAAAAACGACCTGGCCAATCTCGACCAAATTAGGTATACACATTGTGTTTAGGCGCGTCATGCACCATGTTGATTTTTGAAATCGGATAAAAACCACGGCCTCACTAACGTAACGGTAATTTCAAAAACTCAAAGCTAGCTATATTTTAGGGGAAGTTGGTTTTGTCCGATTTAAAAAATATTCAATATGGCGCTTATAGAGCCTAAGCAAAATGTGTATACCACATTTGGTCGAGAGGGGTTAAGTAGTTTTTCAGATATGCATATATCATATAAGTGGGCGGTGCCACTCCCATTTTCCTAAAACTTCTTGAAAACCCACTTTTTTGCTAAAGAGCGATTGTATATAACAATTTTGAATAAATAAGTCTGAAAGTCCGGTAATTGAAAAGCAGAGTGACGAACAAAACCACGCTCTAAAAATTTGTCTATATACCTGACCTTATAGATCGCGCGGAAACCTGAAAGATGACGTGGAAAGATGATAAGGCTTTGGGTGCTTTTGAGGTCATTGTTCTACGCAAAATCTATTGCCCTATTCGCGTGGGTGACGAGCACCGAAGACGGAATGGCGAACTATAAGAGCTTTGTAACTGCATGGATATAGTTAAGCGCATAAAAATATAACGATTTCGCTGGCCTGAGTATGTTGTGCATATTTAGATGAAGAGGCTTCAATCAAAAGATTCTTCGATTCGGCACGCATGTACGGCGACCCACGAACAAATGAAAACTAAGTGCAGAAGAAACTGCCTGCACTCGGGATTTAGAACTGGCAAATCTCGCAAAGAAGAAATGTAATTGGCGGAAGAAGAAATGTAATTGGCCAAATAAGAAATGTAATTGGCCAAATAAGAAGAGGAATCAGGGAAAATATAAAATTGCCCAAAACAGGTCTCAACCCAAGAGCTACAAGTATTAGAAATGCTGTGTTCACTCGTTGCTATGACTCTCGGAGCACGATCAGGTCGAGCGCACCTTCTCACGAGAGTCGGATACCTGTACGTTGGCGGAACTGTTTATTTCCGGTTATTGCCAACTGGCACGCATATATTTATGTACGTAAATATGTGCATGTGCCTGTATTCTTGGCCCCGAAGTTGGCGTTTCGGTTATCAGTAAAAACTCTCTTTGATTGTGATAATGACAAATTGTTGAGATCATTTATATGTATTTATCAGCAAAAAAGATATTATAAAACTTCAAATACGCATAATGTGGGCTAATTAGTGCTAATTTAGCTCATGGTATTGAAGCATTTTATTGCTATTGTTTATTTTATAGTGCTAAGCAAAAAGTACTCGTCACTAAAGTAAATAATCACTTAATCACAAATTCTATTTCCTGTTTCTGAAATTGTTGAGGCACAGCATTTTTTTCAAAAGTCTGAAAGTGACTATGATTCCATTAGTGATAACAGGTATGTATATTTTGCACCAGTGTGTGTAAATATGTACATACATATATACATATAGTATGTTCAATAGCGAATACAAGAAGGCGGAAATAAGGTGCAATTTTAGCACATCGCATACGTTCTTCAGAAGTGAATTACTTATGTAAGTAAAAATTTGGCGTTAGTGAGAAAACGCAATAAACTATTTCTTAACTAAATTAGTCATTATAACGTATGTATTTATATTTGTACGGTATCACAAGTAGGTTTAGTATTAACACTAGAAATACGGACAGGGGTCTCTATTAAATTTTAGGTTATTTTTAAAATGAATAAAGAAATTGTAATTTAAAATTCTGCTAAAATTTATTTAAAGGATATGTTGATTTTTCAGTTTTTCGACGCTAAGCTAATGCTCAATGTTAATGAACTTATTGGCTTTAGACCTGGTAAATCTACCATAGACCAGATATTCGCTATAGACGTCGCAAGATGCGATGCCTGAATTCGGTATCTTCACGAAACTATTAAGGCTGTGTAAAATTACGTTGAGCAGTTTTACCAGATCAGCCAGGATTAGGAAGGACCGCTCCCAGCCGATCGATACTAAATGAGATTTATCGTACGATATCTTTCTTCTGATGCTGGCGGAGATAATACTTAACAGTTACAAAACTAAATTGCTCAGGTATAATCTTTATACGAGTTAACAATTACTGGCGTACTTATGCCGATGACATCGAGATACTAGGCCTCAAAAAATGCTATACTTGTTCTGCTTATTCCAAGTAAGTAATCGAAGCGAAGCGAATGGCCTGGTGGTGAACAAGGAGAAGACGATGTAAAGTTATTTGAAATTAAATTAGTTTGAACAATTGTAAAAAATGTCATTTAAACTGAACATTATGCTGACTACACACGGGACAACTCTGCGGTCAAGCAACGCTTGCGGCAACACCGCAATAGCCGAAACAACATGACTTGGTTGCTTCAACGATTCTCACGTGTGCAGTCAGCATTAGAAAAGTTAAAGACACATGTTCTTCTTGAAGCTGAATGAAGTCTTATTAGGCAGGTTCCAAAAGATCCTAAGTTCAATTAGCATCTAACACATTACATATTTAGTTTTTGATTATTGATTGGGTTTTGGTAAATATGAAATATAATCTGTGAAGTTCAGAACCACAGAGTATTTAAGCAAAAATATTTCTTAGCAAACATAATGTTAGTGTTTGGTGAAGTCCTCCCCCGATTTGTGGCGTGAGCCTTGATGTTGTCACATAAAGGTAAGGAACCTACAGTTTTACGCCG